AACTGGGAAAAATATTAGGTAATGACATGTCTGATAAGGGACTTATATGTAAAATTTATAGAATACTTGAGCACCACAACAAAGTAAAGGTAAACAACCCAACTGAAAAATGGCACAGGATATGAACAGACACTTCAAAGAAGACATTCAGATTGCAAACAAACACATGAAGAAGTGTTCAAAATCCCTACAGCTCTAAGAGAGATGCAAATAAAAACAACTATGAGATATCACTTTACCCCAATAAGAATAGCAAAATCCAACGGAGCAGCAAACAGTAAATGCTGGTGAGGTTGTGGAGAAACTGGAACACTTATTCACTGTTGGTGGGAGTGGAAAATTGTGCAACCACTATGGAAGGCAGTATGGCGCTTTCTCAAAAATTTGCAAACAGAAATACCATTTGACCTAGAAATTCCACTACTGTTAATATACCGTAAAGAAACCAGAACTGCCACTCAAGCAGATATATGCACACCCATGTTTATCACGGCTTTGTTCAAAACAGCAAAGAGTTAGAAACAACCCAAAGCACACCAACAAATGAATGGATAGAGAAGCTGTGGTATATTCACACAATGGCAAACTATGCTGCACTGAAAAACAAAGAACTCATGAAATATTATACAAAATGGATGACCCTGGAGGACATTATGCTGAGTGAAATATCTCAGTCACAAAAGGACAAATATTGCATGTGCTAGTGTTGTAAAACGGGATTGACATTGGGGTTGGGGGGAACCTAAGAAAAGAGGGAATAAATAATGTACGCTATATTGTATACTGATGTGTCAAATGCGTTAATGGTTGGTTATCCAATGTGGACAGAGAATGGGGTGGAGCTCCCCAATTAAAACAAGGTTGGAAGGAGGAGTGGCATCCACTTCCATACTAGCTTGCCTCTGGAAATCCTATGAACCTGGAGAGATAATGAAAGACACCCAAGCATTGAGGACTCTCCTTCAGAGGGTTGCGACTTGACAGCACTTAACAATAACAACAACTGTAATGAAACAATTGAGGGAGAGATCTGTTTAAAAGGAATAAGATTAGGTATTATTTTCATGACAAGATTACAGAAAAAGAAATGCATATTAAAGTGGACTGTGGACTGGGTGGATTGTATAAAAATAAAAGAATTTTTTTTCTTCAAACAGAAAAAGGAACTGGGGAGGAGGGGTGGGCAGGGAGGAAAATGTACAACAATGAATAAATGGGGAAAAAGTAAATGGAAAGAATAGGCTATAAAAATTATAATGTTGCATTAAAAATCATTAATAAAAAAGAGGGTGTCATTTCCCATTTCATAGGTTTTATTTTCTTGTCAAATATCAGTTGGCCATTGATGGATGGATTTACTTCTGGATTTTTTATTTTGTTCCATTGTCTGTCATTGTACCAGTGTTATGCTCATATATACAACTACTGTTGCATAGTAGGTTTGGAGGTCAGGAAGTGCTATGCCTTCCACTTCAATTTGTCTTTCAGAAGTGCTTTCCCCTCCAAATAAACTGGACATTTATTCTTTTCATCTCCTTTAAAAACAAATTTAGTATCTTTATTGGGATTGTGTTGAACATTAGTAGGACTGTTAATTTCACAAAATTGAGTCTTCCTATCCATGAATAGGGAACATTTTTCCATTTATTTATGTCTTTTATTGTGTTTCGCAAAAAAATGTTCTGCAGTGTACTTTGTACAGGTCTTTTGTGTCTCTAGTTAGGTTCACTCCCAAGTATCTTAACTTTTGATTGGCAAGCCAAAGGTGGGTAATTTTAATCTGTGGCCCTCAGGCCTGGTTTTAATTGTTTTTGGTCAAACATTCTTCTAATTGATATAGCACTGGTCTGTCCATCTGATGTACAGAGGTAACTTGTGGTTGCTATGATGCTGAACACTGACACTGTTATGTCAAATGCAAGAGCAATTAATTGCAAAGACTATGATGTGTCAAATGCAATAATGGTTAGCCATGCTACACAGTGTTTGGTGGAGCTCTGTGATTAAAACAAGCTTGGAAGCAGGAGTGGCATCCACTTCCAAAACAGCCTGCCTCCGGAAACAAGATGGACTTGGAAAAATCACGAAAATTATACAAGTGTTCAGGTCTTTTGTTCAGAGTTTCGCTATGAGTTGTCTACAACAACTTGGTGGCACTTAACAACAACATTGTAATGGTTCTACTTTTTTGGTTTCCTTCTCTGAGTTCTCTTTGGTACTGTAGAGGAATCTCACTGATTTTTGTATATTGTTCCTGTATCCTGCTACCCTACTAAATTGGTCCACTAGTTCTAAACCCAAGGCGTTTTCTGTGTACACTATCATATTATCTGCACATAGAGACAGTTTAACTGTCTCTTCCTGTTGATCTGGATGCCTTTTATTTCCCACCATCACAGGAACATGGTAACAGTCCAAATGAGCAATCACATCTGAATCGATTGTGAAATTTTGGTACATTGCATAATGGAATAATATGCAGCACTCAGGAACAATGACTTAAAAATATTATATAACTTGGGAGAGACTAGAGAGCATAATGCTGAGTAAATTCACTCAGTCTCAAAAGGACAAATACTGCAGAAGACCATTATTGTAAAAATAGAAAGATAACTGGTAAACCATGTATGGGAACTCAAGGGGGGGAAGGGCTGGGCATGGAGGGTTGAGGATGGGTAGGGGCAAAAATTGCAGGTTTGCACAGTTCAGTGGGCAGGGGGAGAAGGAAGAAAAAAGGGAAGGATCTAGGTTAAAAGACTGGATAATGATGGACAAGGTCCAATGGTGATTAGTTTTATAAAACATGGGAATGCACTGTATGAAACACAATGTAAATGAGGAATAGTGTGAAACACAAAGAATAGGAACTTTGCAAGGAAACCAATGAAAATAAAGGACAAAAGAAAAAAAGAGCTACCCCCCCCAAAAAATAGAGCTAGAAATGTAGAAAGTTTTCTCAAATATCAGATGTCAAAAGAGAATTGTTAAAAAAAAAGAGAATTGTTGAGACAATACTGATATTAAAGCCAATTCTCATAGCTAAAATAAAATAAATAATTCTCATAGAAAAAGACATTTTCTAACAAAATATTACACCACACCACAACAAGATAAAGGTAAATAATAGAATAGAAAAATGGGCACAGGATATGAACAGACACTTCACCAAAGAAGACATTCAGTTGGCTAACAAGCACATGAAGAAATGTTCAAAATC